ACCAGATACAGGAGCAGAGAATTAAAATGATTAAAATGGAAGCTGAGATAAAATGTTTTTTTAAAAAAAGCATAGAAGAAAATCTTTGAGACCTAGGACTAGGCAAAGTGTTCTTAGACTAGACACCAATAGCATGATGTGTTCTCTGTACTGTTTGGAACACACTGGGATACAAAGATTAAGAAGACAGAGGTTCTCCTTTAAGGTATTCACCATTCTCTTAAGATAGCATCAAGATAAAAAACTATCAAATTTGTCTGATCAACTGTGTCTCATCAAAATTCAAAATTTGAAAATTTTGATCAGCAAAAACTCTCTTAAAAGGATGCAAAGACAAGTTACAGACTAGGAGAAAATATTTGTATATCACATATCTGGCAAAGGCCTTGTATCTAGAATATGTAAAAATCTTTCCAGTTTGAAAATGGGCAAAATATATGCATAGACACTTCACCAAAGAGGATATATAGATGGCAAATATACACCTGAAAAGATGTTTAGCATCATTAGCCCTAGTTTTTGTTATTGTGTGCCGTCGAGTCGGTGCTGACTCATAGCAACCCTACAGGACAGAGTAGAACTGCCTCACAGGGTTTCCAAGGGCAGCTGGTGGACTCTAACTGCTGACATTTTCCTTAGCAGCCTGAGGTCTTAATCACGTCTCCACCAGGTCTCCATTAGCCCTTAGAGAAATGGAAATTTAAACTACAGTGGGCTATCGTTACGTACTTATCAGAATGAATAAAATGAAAAGTAACTATAATACCAAATGCTAGTGAGGATGTGGGGAAAACTGGGTCACTCATACACTGGTGGTAGGAATGTAAAATGGTCCAGCCGCTCTGGAAAATAGTTCAGAAGTTCCTATCAAAACTAACAATAGACTTATCATACGGCCAGAAATTTCACACTTGGGCAATTATTCCAGAGAAATGAAGAATTATTTTTAATCTAGGTACTTGTAGATGAATGTACATTGGGGGGGGGGGCAGAGGGAAAGGTACAAAGGACTTGTCTGTACACTTCTTTGCAATCTCCTGTGAATCTATAATTATTTCAAAATAAAAAAAAAATCAAACTGACAGGTTGGGAAAAGGGGAGTTATAGGAGGAAAAAAGGGGGAAAAAGAAAATTAATGAAGGTAAAAGTGGTTAGTTTTACATTCATCCTCTAAGTTTTTGCTCTACAGAACTCTGCCACATGTGAAAACCTGTGGCCCAAGTACTTCACAAAATTAATTCAGAAAATATTTGTTCAGTTTTTGCTGTGTGTCAGCTATTATGCTGAGTGCTGGTTATTGCAACAGAAAGTAATGCAGGCAAGAACTTTGCACTGTTGGAGCTTACATTCTATCGTGGGAGACAGACAAACACATAAAACAATTAGAATGTTATTAATGTTTTGAGCACTTCTGCTTCCATCCAAGTTGGAGTAACAAGGATTGGATTTACCTTCCCATCTTAAACAATTAAAAACTGAAAAAATATAGGAAACAACGGTTTTCAGATATTGAACAACAGATAGTGCAGGGCAATAATCCTTCAGATATGGAAAACAAATGAAATGAGTTCTAGAATTACTTTGATTTACTGCCTAAAGAGTTTCCAGGCTTCAAGATATGGAGAGGGAATTCAGGAGCAGCCTGCTGGTCTTCCGGAGTTGAGAAGCCAGACTGTGGTGTTTGGGAAGGCCAAGGAGGTTAGATTTGCGTGACAGAGTACCAGAGAGGAAAGAGCAGCACAGAGAAAGAGCTCCAGAGATCTGCAGAGGGCCCTGTTTGAGTCTTCAACTGAGCATGGCTCAGCACATATGTGTGATGAAACTACTTGAGGTGGGGAAAAAACCACCAGATTGGAGTGGGCAGAACAGTCTCCAAAGCTCACACAGAGCCGAGAAAAATTAATGCCCCCACCAGCCAGAGTGGGGAAACCTTGCAATACACAAGTCATCAGAAAGAGTAGTCAAAAGGTATTGCTTCAGTTGTGGAACAAAGTTAGTCCTAGACTAAGGGCTGCTTTGGTCCTGCCTAACAAAAATTAAAAGCAAGGCTCAAAAGGATCAAACTATTTCTAAATAACTGTGTTCCAGAACAAAGCTCAAGATTACTTAAAAAATACCATTTTTAAAATAATTTTATTTTATATATGTATATATAGTCACCAAACAAGGCGAAATTTACAATGCCTGGCATCCAATCAATAAGCAGTGTCTAAAGGTAAATTTACAGTACTAAATACCATTATTGAAAAAAGATGAAAGAGCTCAACTCAGTGACCCAAACTACCTTAAATTAGAACAGAAAGACAAAATTAAAGCCAAAGTAAGCAGAAAAATGAAATTAATAAAAATAAGAGCATAAAAAAGTGAGGGGGGAAGAAAAACAATAGAGAAAAGCAATGAAATCAAAAGCTTGGGTTTTTTTTTTTTTTTTTAAGAAGATCAATGAAGTTTATCTATTTGTTTATGTCAGTTAACATCTATCTAGACCGATCTGAAAAAATAGAGAGAAAAACCAAATTATCAATATTAGGAATGAGAGAGGAGGCATCAATACAGATCTTAAAGACATTAAAAATATGATAAGGGAATATTATGAACAAATTTTTGACAACCAATTTGACAGCTTGGATGAAATAGACAAATTCCTTGAAAGACAAAAGCTACCACTGAAACTCATTCGAAATCTAGAAAACTTGAGTAGCCCTATATGTACATTTTAAAAATTGAATTTGTAGTTAAAAATTTTACCACCAACAAATCTCCAGGCAATATGGCTCCACTTGTGAATTCAACCAAATTTTTAAGGAAGAAATTACACTAATTCTTCACAAACTCATCTAGAAAATTAAAGAGGTTGGATAACCTCCCAACTTATTCTATGGTTTAATCTCAAATTCATTATGTAAAGTGTAAGAAAGTAGACTCAAAATAGTATATACTGTTTGATTTCATTTATGTGACGTTCTAGAAAAGGCAAAACTTTAGGGACAGGGAACAGATCAGTGGTATTCAGCAGCTGGGGCTGAGGAGAGGAGTTGCCTGCAAAAGGCATGAGGTTACTTTGGCTAGTGATGAAAGGGTTCTATATTTTGACTGTGGGGGTTACACAGCTGTTATGTGTTTGTCAAAATTTGCAGAACTTCACATTAAGAGCATGGATTTTACTGTACATAGATTATAGCTTAATTTTTTAATTAAAAAATAAATTTAATGTATAGGATTTGGAGTAACAAAACCATAGAATCTTTTTTGTAAAGAATATTATTCATGCTTTAGAAGGAAAAAATGCCCATTTTGGATGCACTAGGAGCCGTGGTGGCGCGGTGGTAAAAGCACCTGGCTGCTAACCGAAAGGTTGGTGGTTCAAACCCACCAGCCACTCCGCGGGAGAAAGATGCGGCAGTCTGCCTCCGTAAAGATTTACAGCCTTGGGAACCCTATGGGACAGTTCTACTCTGTCCTATAGGGTCCCCATGAGTCCGAATCGCCTCGGCGGCAAAGAGTTTTGGATTTTGGTTTGGATAGAATGGTCAGGAGAAGGCCTTTGCAAAGAAGTATTTAACTGAATGGTAAAGTGGAAGGAGACAGCTAGGAGAAGAGGAACCCTGCAGTAGGAGAGTTTGAAAAGTGGCAGGAAAGTTCAGAAGACCAGAGGAATCTATGGGAATAGCTTACATTTCTTAATTATGGATTATGTACAGGCATGGGGCCCTGGTGGCACGGTAGTTAAGTGGCTGCTAACCAAAAGATGGACATTTCAAATCCACCAGCCGCTCCTTGGAAACTCTGTGGGGCAGTTCTATCTAGTCTGTCCTATAGGGTTGCTATGAGTCGGGATCGACTCGATGGCAATGGGTTTTTTTTTGAGTAGCAGGCACAGTGTTAAGTGCTTTATATGGTATTTTATTCACTCTCTGCAACAAACCAACCAAGTTGCTGTTATTCATCACTTTTTATAGAAGAAAGTCAAAGCTTAAAAAAGATTAACTTATCCAAGATGCTAAACCAAGAAATGTCAGTGTCTGCATTCAAACCCAGATCTCTATTCCCTTTGTACCAATGACTGGATAAATAATCATTAGTTAATTTTATCTTTTCTGTTTCATTTTAAAAGCTTTCCATTTAAATTCAGATCCGCATTGGCAAAAACACTTTGAATTTTTTTTCCTGTGCATGCTGATTGGATCTCTTCGGACAATACTGGAGAAACTCCAAGGGTCACTGGGGACTCAAAGACTTCCTTTGATAATTCCTGACATAGCTTCAAAGAAACAGCCTGTGACAGAAGTCCTTCCCTTGAGTAAAGAGAAAGCAAAGATGCAAATAATTTTGATTTAGGCTTTGTGATTTTGTAACTTTGACTTTTAACCAGAAGACTTTACACTTCTTATCCTAAAGACTTTATTACCTTAAATACAGAGTTTCTCAAGTTTTTGAAGCAATGAAACTTCCTATTATTTTTTTACCAACCCCAACACCCTACAATTACCTCTTCATTGTGCTTTTTGTTACATTTATTTTTCGTATAATATTGTTAATTTTCTCCATCCAGCCTATGTGATTAAGTTCTTTCACTTGTACATCCATCTTTCCATTCCAGTGGTTTAACTTGAAGACCATGTTCTCTTGACTCCTGCAGGAAAATTATGATGATCAGTGTTAAGGCAGAAAATGGGAAACATTCCACATAACCCAAAACTCTGTTCCTCTGAGCAGTAAGTTCGTTGGTTTATTCATTTCCTGTCACCAAAACGAGCCAAGCAGGCACTTAGGCCTCAAGAAAAAAAAGTTAGGGCTTTTATTTATAATCCATTTCTAACAGGTCCTTAAAAGGCTGGGGAAAAAAAGTATATTTTCCATTTAATAAAAAATATAGATACATTTTTAATTTCTCTGCATGGAATGAAGGTTATATATTGATTTCAGAATAGTATCTAAGTCTTGGTACAAAAGGAGTGGGATGCAGAGTAAGATCTACAAGGGCCTAACAATAGACTTTTAATGATAATAATTTTCATATCTAGAAATTTATCTGAGAGTGATGAGATATGTATTAATTCCAGGCTCCAAACAAAAGATTACAAAATAACCCCACAGGTCTGCCTGGGTCCCTAGAAATGTCCTTATTTTGCATTTTTGCTGGAACATTTAGTTACGTGTGCACACAAAGGCTTTATGTTCAAAACATGTACGGATTTTAAATCTTTCAGGCTTTCCCTAAGTTCTCTGCTGAATTTCATTTTCCCCTGCCCTTCACAGATCATTGTCAAGTGTTCTTTCTTGCATGTGTCAAGGCTTACAGTACAGAGATGTTCTCCTCTGAAAACTGCAGAGATGTGGGCATTTGAGGATCCTCATGTTGAATATGAGCTGTTTCTTGCTCATTCTGCTCATGCTGCAGATTCTGGTCCTGCTCAGCCTCCATCTGCAACATATCCTGATAAAGATTATGAAGGAAGCAAAGCAGAACAGAAAGGTTATCACAAGAGGTGGTGGTCCCTCTAGCCCTGCCCGTGTGTGCCCCTTCTCTGGGGGCAAGTACATAGCCTTCTCTGAAGCTGGAGACTTATAATGAATTGTTTGTAAAATAAGCAGACATGCCCTCCTTCTCAGTTTATAGACAGAGGCTGAGGCAGGGACATGTGAAAGATCAGCATTTACACGCAGAACTCTTTGTAGTGTTGACGAGTAATAGAGTTCCATCTGACTATGAACTGTAACTTTCACCCATCTGTGGTTGGCTTGCGTGTTGCTATGATGTTGGAAGCTATACCACTGGTATTTCAAATACCAGCAGGGTTGCCCATGGTGGACAGATTGCAGCAACGCTTCTATGCTAAGACACGCTAGGAAGAAAGGCCTGGCAAGACTACTGAAATTAGCCACTGAAAACCTTATGGATCACAACAGAGCATTGTCCAATATAGTGCTGGAAGTTGAGCCTGCGGGTTGGAAGGCACTACACAATAGCTGCAACAATGGGCTCAAACATACCAATAATCATGAAGATGGAGCAGGACCAGGCAATGTTTCATTCAACGTAAGGTTGCCATGAGTCAGAGCCCACTCGACGGCAAGTAACAACACAGACCCTAAAACTCCACTCAAATAAGACGACTAGTGTGACATGGAAAAAAAAAAATTGTTGTCATGGAAAAGAAGAAGGTGGATGTCCTGCTCTATATTAAGAGAGTCTAAAGAGATATATCAACTGATTGCATTGCATGGATCTTGTTTGGATCCTGGTTTAAAAACATACAACTATAAAAGGCATTTGGGGGACAATGGAGGAAATTAGAATATTGAAAGAATTGAGGATACTAGATTACATTATGGAATTCTTGCTAGTTTTTCTAGATGTGATAACAATATTGTGGTTATGTAGAAAAAAATCCTTATTTTTAGAAATACTTGCTGAAGGAAACAGGGATTAAGTATTGTGCTATGTTTGGCCTATTTTCGAATGGTTCAGAAAGATCCATGTACTTTTATACACAGAGATAAGGCAGATGTGACAAAATGTTAACAATTTTTTAAAGTTAGATATGGGAACATATCAATTGGGCGATCAATCATTGTACACTTCACTTGAGACTTCTGTTTATTTAAACTTTTTCATAATAAAAAGTTTGGGAAAAAACACCTACTCCATCAGTTTGGCCCACCAAATTTACTTCTTTGTTTCTTTATTCTTTGCCTTGTTCTAGAAAAGCATTCCAGGCATTTTCTGATATTTGAATTCTATGCGTGCACACAATTGATTGTAATTTAACTATAAACACTTCTCTCCTCCAGTAACTACATTGTGAAATATTTCTTCTATCCTTTGAAGAAGTTTGGTCTGAAATTCTTGTTTCAGCAAATAGTTTCACAGAAGTATTTTTAAACTGGAAGGAGAAAATGTTGCAGTAGGGGGAAGAGATCGGCCTTCTATTGAAATATCTGTGTAAAGTACTGGCCAAGTCAGTAGGGATGACTAGCATTCACATAAATCTTTACAAATTGCTTCCATATGCATTATTTCTCTTAGTTATCATGACATATTTAAGTGGATAAAAGCAGATATTGAGATCCTCTTGGTTATTCACATTTAGTGGCTTGCCCAAGGTGGTATGGCTAGTAAGTGCATGGACTTGAACTTGAGCTAGGTTTTCTGATTCAAAGACCACGGCTCTTGTGATGGTTAAAGTTATGTGGCAACTTGGCTAGGCCACGATTCTCAGTGGTTTGGCAGATATTATGTAATAGTTCTCCATTTTGTGATCTGATGTGAGCAGCCAGTTAGTTGAAAGCCAATCTGTTGAAAGCTAATCAGTTTCACTGGGGTGTGGCCTGCTTGCAGTATATATGGATGTTCTGGCAAAGCTCTCTCTGGATTCTGCATCCTCTGCATTGTCATCTTCTTTTTTTTTTAATTAATTATTTTATTTTTTATTGTGCTTTAGATGAAGGTTTACAGAGCAAATTAGTTTCTCATTAAACAATTAATACATATATTGTTTTGTGATGTTGGTTGCCAACCCCACGACATGTCAATGCTCTCTCCTTCTCGATCTTGGGTTCCCCATTACCAGCTGTCCTATCCCCTCCGGCCTTCTCATCCTTGCCCCTGGGCTGGTATGCCCATTTAGTCTTGTTTTTTTTTATGGGCTTGTCTAATTTTCAGCTAAAGGGTGAACCTCAGGAGTGACTTCAGTACTGGGTTAAAAGGGTATCTGGGGGCCATACTCTTGGGTTTCTCCAGTCTCTGTCAGACCAGTAAGTCTGGTCTTCATTGTCATTCTCTGACCTCTGGTTCTTGGTAAATGAGGCAGCAGCCTTCCGCCTGACCTGCTGATTTTGAGTTCATTGGCCCATGCAACCATGTGAGTCAGGAAAAGCCTCCAGCCTGATGGTTGACCTCCAGATTTGGGACTTTGCAGCCTTCACAACTCTGTGAGCCATTTCCTTGAGATAAATCTCTGTATATATATTTATGTATGTACATACTTCGCTTGTTTTGTTCCTCTAGAAAACCCAGCCTAAGATAGCTCTTTTTGTAATACTCAGGCCTTGGTTCAGATAAAGAAATATAAAGCTGTTAACATTGGCACCTGCACAGCCCAGTGGCACCTCACCAGTGATGTGAGAATTATTATCACATTTACAGATGAGAAAACTAAGGCTCAGGTTATCCAGGTATTATATGATTTCACTATATCTTAGTTAAAGAACAAAGCCAAGCCAGTTGCTGTTGAGTGGATTCTAACTCATGGAGACCCCATGTATTACAGAGTAGAACTGGTCTATAGTGTTTTCATGGTTGTGACCTTTCAGAAGCAGATCACCGGGCCTTTTATCTGAGGCACCTCTGGGTAGTTTTGAACTGCCAACCTTTTGGTTAGTAGCCCAGCGCTTAATGTTTTGTGCCACCCAGGGACCATATCTTAGCTACTTCTTCATAAATTAAAAACATCCACAATTTCAATTTCTTCCCACCAAATCTTTTTTTTTTTTAATAATATTTTATTGTGTTTTTGGTGGAAGTTTGCACAGCAAATTCAGTTCCCATTTAACAATTGCTATACATGTTTAGTGACATTGGTTAGATTTTTCACAGTGTGTCGACATTCTCATTATTTCCATTCTGGTTGTTCCATTCTATTAATCTAGCTTCCCTGCCTGCTCCCCCAACCCCCACCTCCTTAACTTCTCATCTTTGCCTTAGGGTAAATGTTGACCATTTGGTCTCATATAGAGGATTTTTTAAAAGAGCTCAGTTCTCACTGGTGATATTGTTTACTTTATGAGTCAATCTGTTATTTAGCTGAAAGGTGACCTCTGAGAGTGGTTTCAGTTCCAAGTTTAAAGGGTGTCTCTAGGCAACAGTCTCTACTGGTCCAGTAAGCCCGGCATTTTTTAAGAATTTGAGTTTTGTTCTACCTTTTTCTCTCATTCTATCTGGGACCATCTATTGTGTCCCTGGTCAGTACAGCCAGTAGTGGTAGCCACGCACCATCTAGTTCTTCCTGTCTCAGGATAGATGAGGATGTGGTTCATGTGGGCTATTAGTCCTGTAAAGTAGTTTCTTCTCTGAGTCTTTGGTTTCCTTCTTTTTCTCTTTTGCTCCAAATGAGTAGAGACCAACAACTGTAGCTTAGATGGCCACTCACAAGCTGTTAAGACCCCCAGACACTACCCACCAAACTAGGATGTAGAACATAAACTTTATAAACTATGTTATGCCAATCGACTGAGGTATCCCATGAGACTATGGTCCTAAGCTTTCAAACCCAGTAAACTAGTCCTGCGAGGTGTTTGGTTATGTCTAGGAAGTATCCATAACTGTGACCTCTATGTGCTTTATGAATATATGAATATATATGCAGTGCACACAAACTTATACATACATATGCCTACAGATGCACCTATACATGCACATGCATATACTCACTTATGTCTTCCTATACACATATATACAGACATATCTACCTATGTAACCACACACACATTTTTTGGTTGTTATTGCTGTTGTTGCAAAATTTTATATGTTACAGCATTTACCAGAAACATCCCTTACTCTTGTATACTTCTTAGTGTTATCATTTGCCTTGGTCAAGTTGGGCAGACTTCACCCGCATTTGGCATTGCCTTTCCCATTACCAAAAATAACACGTCTACTATCTAGAAAGTGATTCCCCCTCCGTCTCCTCCCATCCCTGGTAACCACCAAAGAAAGTTGCTTTCTGTATGTACCACCAAATTTTAGCCAGGGAGATTCGAAAGAGGCAGAAACACTGTGATGTAGAGAAAAAGCCTTGCATTGGGAATCAGAAGACCTGACTTCTAAGCCTTCTTCTACTGCTGGGGATGTTAAACAAGTCATCTAACCACCCTAAAGCTCAATTTCCTGCTCTGTAATAAGAAAATTGCAACAAGTGAACTGTAGGGTTCCCTCTTTCTCTAATAATTTATGGTAACACTTCTTGTTTCATGAATCAATTCACTGCAATGGGTAATATGCCAGAAAAGAATCGACAGGGAGAAAGTACAAAGAAAAGGATTTTTTTAATTCTGCTGTATTTAACACATAAAATAAGAGTGATGGTTTTATTTTGTAATAGCAAACTAAAAGAGTACTTGTGTGAAATACACAGCCTAGAGGCTTTACTTTCCATTTACGTGCCACGCTGTGAAGAGCTCATGTTTCCATTTGGATGTCCTATAGGGCACCTCAGACTCAACAACTAAAAATTTAAATTCATCACATTTCCCCTCTACCACTAACCCCAGCTTCTTCCTTGTCTAGGTTCCTCATCCCTGCATATGGTCTCTCCATCTATCCAGATGCTTCAGAGAGAAATCTGGAAGAGGTCCTTCAGTTTTCATGGAAGACATTTTCTCTCTCTTCTTTACCCATATCTTATCCACTTGGTATCCAAACCCAATTTAAAAAGAAAAAACAAAAACAGTGGCCATCGAGTCGATTCGAACTCATGGTGACACCGTGAGCGTCAGAACAGAACTGTGCTTCATACAGTTTTCAACGGCTGATTTTTCAAAAGTTAGATCACCAGGCCTTTCTTCCAAGGCACGTCTAGGTGGACTTGAACTGCCAACATTTCGGTTAGCCGAGGTGTTAACTGTTTGCACCACCCAGTGACTCTAGCCCAATAATATCTACCTTTTAAATTTGTGTCCTTTTCCCCCATCCCCATGGCATCTCTGCTGCCAGTCAGTGCCTTATTTTGGGTCCTTATCAATTCTTGACTCCCATTGCTGTCCTGGATTCTAGTCTGATCCCAACTGGTCTGCCAACTCTTTAGCATGATTGTTGAGTTGATCCAACTCATGATGACCCCATACGTTGCACAGTAGAACTCCCATAGGGTTTTCATGGCTGTGACCTTTTGGAAGTAGATCTCCAGGTCTGTCTTCCAAGGTGCCTCTGGGTGGGTTCAAACCGCCAGCCTTTCAGCTAATAGTCAATCGCTTAACTGTTTGTGCCTCCTAGGGACCCTGGGCCAATCCTGGCAGCCTGCCTTTTCTTTTCTTTCACCCTTCCTCTTTGTAGGAAAAAAAAAAAATATATATATATATATATATCTTTGGCCTTCTATGTCTTTGCATGGTCCTTTTTTCTGAAATGCTTTTCTTCTATCCAATTTATCCTTCAGGACTCAGATATCATCATCTTAATCATTGTCCTGTACCAGCCCCTCCCATGTACTTCCCTAGCACCTCAGCTACTTTTAGCATGCATTTTATCATACGTATCCATTTTCTTGTCTGAGTCACTCCTAGGCCTATGAGCCCATTAAGGAGAAAAAATATTTTTGATCTCTGCATTCCCAGCATGATACAGTGCCTAGCGCATAGTAGATGCCCAATAAATGGTTTCAGCACTAATAGACTTCAGAAGTAGGGAAATATATTCTGATTTTACAGATGCAAACAAAGCAGGACATAGGAAAGTCTATTCACTCACCCAACATCCAAAATTGGCACTGCATACAGCAGTGCCAGTGATCAGAAAATATGAAATCAGAGCGAGATATGCATTTATAAATATTTGAGGGGACTTTGATGGTTTGATATGGCAGCTTTAGCAATCTGGCTAAAGTCTATTTTGTTAAATAAACCAGCAGTTGATTTTTTAAAAAAATTTAGTAACTGTTTGTTTTCTGAACCTGCCCTTTAAATATCATGATCTTCTCTTTTAAAAAAGACAAACATAAAATTATGCAAAGCAGAGACCTCCTGGTTTGCTTTTAGAGAATTTTAAAAAAAAGTGTTTCTTCCTCAGAAGTCATATAAGTAGGGAAACTATTTGTCCTTTTTGTTTTTTAGGAGAGAGTCAAATTAATAATTATTTGCTAATTATGTAACTACCCGTAATTTATTTTTATATTATTGTAGAATTTTTTACATATGCAAATATAGCCAAAAAAAACAAACAAACCTGTTGCCATCAAGTCAATTCTGACTCATAGCGATCCTATAGGACAGAGTAGAACTTCCCCATAGGGTTTCCGAGGAGTGACTGGTAGATTTGAACCACTGACTTTTTGGCTAACAGCTGAACTCTTAACCAGTATGCCACCAGGGCTCCAAAGTAATATTAAAAAAATTGATATACGGTAACACAATTATAAACTTTAGAAAACCTTTAGTTAAATCATATGCCCACATGTGGGATTTATAAAAAATCGTCTATAATGACTTATACCTTGAAGATATGGATTAATTGCTAAATTCTTATAGAATGAGTCATTTTATTATCTAATTAGAGTTATTGTGTCCTGGGTCAATGAGAGATGGTATCACAGGTCACTGGCTAACAGGATTCACCTGGGCACTTTGAACGGTGATTGCAGGTGATTGTGGCGGCCAAGCTGGTCTAATAGAAGCAGCTCTTGCCTGGAGTCCAGGGGCAGGTTGTCCCTTCAGAGCATCAAGTGATATTATTTATGAAGTAATACTCTCAATTCACGTGTTCCCTAACATCATAACCCTCACACCTCAATTTCCCTATTTTCTTTCCCCATCTTCAGATTTTCTAAAAACTGTATCCTTAGACTCCCTTCCTCAGTTTCTGTTATTCTTTTTTTCTCCCATAAAAGTGCTCTTGCACGGGCTTGTGCTCTGTCTCATTATGTCCACTTTTTGTTCCTTTTGTTATACCTCTAACTCCATCCCCTCACTCCTTCTATTTCTTTTTGGTGACTTACTACAGAGTCCTTGAAGGTAAATTCCCAGTTGGGATATTCTTTTGGGACTTTTTCCTTCTATGGGTTTGCAGAGTTAGCCATCCCCAAATCCAAAATGTATTCAAAAGAGAAAGAGACAATGAGCTTCTTTGGGGAGGGGGCTGCATGAGCCTGCGAGTAGGAAGTTCACCTCTTCATCCTTCCCTTAGGTTTTTCTGACTGGTGTAAACCATCTGCCTCTTTAGCCAACACTCTATAGAACCTACGGATGGACTTGCATATCGAAAAAAACAGGTTTTGGCCATGTCTATGTTTTACAAATGGTGGTGAAAGCATAACCTCTTTCCAGGACAACCTCAGCTCTTTGCAGGACAACTCCATGTCAGCCAGGTGACCAAAGTTCAAAGACAGAGAGATTCAGACAATTAAGAGTAAACAGATCTCTCTGATACATTTTTTTGGAAGATAATCTGTGAGCACGGGATCATTTTGCATACAGTGATTTGCTCTAAAATGCAACATGTCCGTTATTTCATAAATCCCAACGAATAAAATAACATATAATGCACTTTTTTTTTTTTTTTGCATGAGAAGGCAAATAAGTCCCTCATGTGGGAACAGCAGCCCCCAGTCCAGATAACACTATCCCCTGCCCCCCTCCTGGTTTCCAGCCCTGAATGTCTAGCACCTATCACAAGGAAACCCTCAGACATATTCTTATTGCATTGAGATATGAGATGGGAACTTCCTCTTTTTACTCACTGTGACATTTAAGTCTCTCCCTTACCCATTTTTTAGTCTCCACCTGGTGAAGGAAGTCATTTTGAGGGTTTTCAGAGAAAATGTTGTCCTCATCGTCTGATCGGTCCAAGATGTAGTCCATTTTGGTAATTTTGCTCTGCAAACTGCAAGCCACACAATCCAAACAAATGCTGTTATTATGCCTTAGGCCCAGAGCTTAGGCCTGCTCTAAACCTTTCTAAAGGGAGAACAGTGGGATCTTTCCTGGCCCCAAAGAGCACCTGCTATCCTTGTATTGATTTCATTCTGTATGAATAGTGCCTAGCCTCCTGCATTGATTGCACAAATAGGAGTAGAGGGGCTAGGTAAATATTTGTTAACTGGATCAATGAATGATTTCACAGTGGAATTCCAAAGTCATTGCAGCTGTGTATATATGTATGTGTAAATGCGTGTGCAAAATAAATAGGTAAATAAATGAATAAATGCATACTCTATTTTAAAAGGTAGAGTTAAAAAAACATCATATGGTTCAAAAGAGTGTGCAGAGAGGAGTAAGTCTATAACGTTATGATACCGTCTTGATCTCTAGTCCCCATCAGTTCCCCGACCCGAGATAATGCTTTCTAGTTTCTTCTTCAATCTTCCACAGAGATTCTACGTATGAATTAGTACGTTATTGTTGTTGTTGAGTCGATTCTGACTAATGACGACTCCACGTGTGCACACTAGAACTACTCCATAGGGTTTTCAAGGCTGTGACCTTTCAGAAGCAGATTGCTGGGCCTGTCTTTCAAGGAGCCTCTAGGTGGGTTCTAATCACCAACTTTTCAGCTTATAGTTGAGCGCTTCATCATTTGCACCACCATATATATATATATATATATATAAAGGTTGTCCTTTCTGAAAGGCTATTAATGATTGGTCTATATTGGTATATACTTTTATCATGTATTAACAAATTTGTATATGTACTTATGGAGCCCTGGTGGTGCAGTGGTTAAGAGCTCGGCTGCTAACCAAAAACAGGTAGGCAGTTCGAATCCATCAGCCACTCCTTGGAAACCTTATTGGGCAGTGTTACTCTGTCCTGTAGGGTCACTATGAGTCAGAATCGACTCGATGGCAACGGGTTTGGTTTTCTATGAATTTATATAAGTATTTGTATTCTCTCTACTCCAGAAAGTATTTTAAATGGTTTATATCTTTAGCAGGTGAAGATAATGAAGCCATGAAATAATCAAAGTATTTTCCCAAATTGAGATTAGGATCCTTTGGTGTCTCATGGGGCCTAACACAGAGCTGGGCAACAATAAATATTCATGAGATCAAAATCAGATGAATTGTAGAGAGAATGTCAGCTCAGACCCTGAAATTGGAAATCTCATCATTTGCATCCCTCTGCCCCGAGGAAAGTCTCCGGACAGCACTGGAGAGGCTGCTCCTGTGAGCTCAGCCCCGACTTACTTCAGCATTGCACCTTCAGCTGCGTTGGTGTTTTGGAGAAAGCTGTCATTCTCGGTCAGTTGTTGGCGTTCATCCCAGACTGTCTTCATCTGCAGAGACTTCTTGTCATTTAGATTTGTTAGTGTGAGAGCAACATCTTCAGCACTACAGGGACAATGATGACTAGAGCAGTTTCCCGGCAGGATTGGCGACTACATTCCCTATCCTCAAATCAGCTTTACTTCTCTATCAGAGAAATAACCCCTCTCCAAACCTTTCCCCTTCCAAAACTGGCAGTCAATGTAAGGGACCCCAAAGCAAGTTCTTAGGTTTCTTTGTTCAAATGTATACTGGAGAGTCTCATGTGGCTGTCCCCAAGGACTTCTCTGGTTAATGTGAGGGTGATCTGAACGTGTAAATGTGTGCTTCAAACCCTTGAATGGGAATATCATTAAAAAAAAAAAAATTAAAACCATACCAACCAATTGTGGTCAAGTTGATTCCAACTCATGATGACTCCATGTATGTCAGAGTAGAACTGTACTCCATAGGGTTTACAATGGCTGCTTTTTCAGAAGTAGATTGCCAGGCCTTTCTTCTGAGGCACCTCTGGCTGGACTTGAACCTCCAACCTTTCAGTTAGCTGCCGAACACTTTAACCATTTGCACTACCCAGAGACTCCAGAATATTATAAAGGGATACATAATAGCAAGACTAGGGGAAGGGGGAGCCTTCATTGTAATAACCTCTTTCAGATTATATAATAATATGCAAATTGTAAACAACAGAAAAGGAGAAAGAAGAAAATAAAAACCAGTGATAATCAGAGATAACCCTAGAGCTATCCAGACATAACCACTTTTAATATTTTGCTGTATTCCTTTCCATTTCTAAATTTTATATTTATTTTAAATATTTCCCCATTGTTGACAATTAGGTTATTTCCAGTATTTCACTATTATAAACAATACAGTGTTAGATATCTTTGTTTATTAATTTTTAGTACATCCCTCATTATTTACTTAGGAAACCTCCCTAGAAGTGGTATTACTGGCCCAAAACGTATAAACATTTTTAAAGATTTAGAAAGATATTCCCAAATTACTTTTCTAAAGGTTCAGTTGATATATATTGCCACCAGCTGTGTGTGAGACAGGACCCTGCTCCCAGCCTGATAAGTATGTCTTAGCTCAAGAGCAGAGCAGTGAATTTGTGAGACAAATAAGGGCAAAAAGAAAAGGAAAGAAGGTAAGGAGGGGTGAGACAGGCTTTAGGAAGATTATAAGGAAAGAATAGATACTAAACACAAACCAAACCCGCTGCCATTGAGTCAGTTCCAACCCATAGCGACCATATATGACAGGGTAGAACTGCCCCATAGGGTTTCCAAGACTGTAATCTTCATGGAAGCGACTGGTGGGTTCAGACCACTGATTTTTCAGTAAGTAGCTGGGCGCTTAACTGCTGCACCTCCAGGGCTCCTCACAAGTCCTAGTTATTGGCTGAAGTTAGAAGGATTTATCCTCGGCCAAAAAGAAGAAAGCTTCTCCATGTACTCAAAGGAGTGATAGCAGTAGATTGGCCTAGAACTGGGGGGCAGCCAGACCTCCAGGAACCCGAGAGACAGGCATCAGTGGAGCGGACTGTGGAATAATGGGGAGGAAAGCGATAGCAGGGATTTTCCTGGAAGGGTGACTTATGGCCGGGATTAGGAACAGGGGAGGAAGGACTGCGGAGGAGGGAGGTACTGGAATTCACAGTGATACTGGAACTGTTTGGGCAGCCAAGGGCCTGGTCACTCATTCTGTGGGCAAATAAGCTTTGTCCTTGACCTGTGAGGAGATCCACAGAGGAAGTGGTGCAAAGGAGCCCCTGTAAAGGAAAAACAACCGCAAAAGGCTAAAAACCTTTGATGTGAGAGAGCTCCATCCTCTTTAACTTTTAATGTGACAAAGAAGAATAAACCTTTGATCTCTCTCAGGAAGGACACTGGGCCCTGCCCAATTTCACCAAAGCTCCTGTCCAGGCAGTTTCATCTGTTTCCTGAAGGTGTTAAGCCTTACCAACTCGATTCCAAGCTCTGAAAGATGAATGGCTACTGAGATCTGCCTGGTTTGGTGTCTCTTTCCCATAGAGAATACTGTACAAATATTACAATTTCCTATTTTGATCACTCCCTGACGTCCAAGATTGATTTAAAAGAAAACCTGATTCTCTCAATTCAGGAACCTACACAGTCCTGGCTCTATACATTTTCCCATATTTTCAAATAACGATTAGAATCCTAATGTTGGCTCATATTTGTACAGCGTCTAACAGATTACAAAGTGCTTTTCACATATTTTCTCATTCAGTCCCACAATAACACTGTGAGAAAGGCATGATTCCCATTTTACTGAGGCTCTGAGAGATGGTGTGATTTACTTGTTAGAGTTTTATGGCTGGTTAACTAGCAGAACCAGGACTCAGACTGCCCACATCTTCACAGCTGTTCATAAGGGACACCTTCCCACCCACCCCTCAACCAAAGATAATCTGGACCAGGAATCTCCAACAGAACTTTCTGAGATGATGCAAACGTTATCTGCAATGTCGAATACAGTAGCCACTAGCTACACGTGGCTACTGAGCACTTGAAACGTGGCTAGTACACCTGAAAAATTAATTTTTTAATTTAATCTTAATTTCAATATAGTGGTTAATGACTACCACACTGGACAACTCATAATTTTCTAGACGAGCGGTCAGCCAACTATGACCTGCTGGCCTAATCTAGTCTACCACCTGTTTCTGTAAATAAACTTTTATTGGAATACCACCACGCCCATTTCTTTATGCATTGTCTAACTGCTTTCACGCTACAACAGCCAAGTTGAGTGGTTGTGACAGAGACCATTTGGCTGGCAAAGCTTAAAATATTTACTATCTTGACCTTTATGGCAAATGTTTGCTGACCCCTGTCCTAGACCATCACCTTCTTCTCTGACGATGGGTGTTTGCTTCAAAGAGTCAATTGATCATAGTGAATAAGGGCTTGCAATTTAGAGTGCCTAGCTGAGTTCATATCCTAGCATCAACACTTAAGAGCTGGGCAAAAGCTTAACTGCTCTGGGCCTCAGTTTTAGTTTTAGCATCTGTACAATGGGGCTAACATTAGTACTACTGATATTACTAGAGTTGTGAGGAGTAAAGAAAATAATGTTTATTTGTGTTTAATACTGTGTTACACACACTTGATAATCTCATGTTTCTATCTATCTATTAAAATAAAAGCAATGGAAATGGAAGCAACTAGTAAAGTTTCTTTAGCCTTAAGCAACACACTAGCAGTAGAAATAATACTAATAATAAAGCCTTATATGTATATAGCACTTTATAAAGCACTTTCTATTTATAAAGCACTTTCACTAAGTTATTTTATTTGATTCTCACAACCGCCCTTGGTTAGTCAACAAAGGCAGGTCATATTACTCCTATGCTTTGGGATGAAGAAACTGAGAACCTATACAAGACCAAAAGGGCAATATTTGCCCAAAAGTAGGATGAGAAGACAGCAAGGAACAGGAAAACTCAACGGATGGACATCGGGAACCCAGAGTGGAAAGGGGAAGAGTGCTGACACATTGCACAGACTGCAACCAATGTCACAAAACAATTTGCGTATCAATTATTGAATGTGAAACTAATTTGCACTGTAAACTTTCACCTAAAGCACAATAAATTCTTTTTAAAAAGAGAGAGAGAGAGAAACTGAGACTCAGATATGATCCATGATCTGCCCAAAGTTTTAGTGCTAGGGAATGGTAGAGTCAGAATTTAAATCTTCAAATTCTGCCCATAATTTTTGCAATCATCCTGCTATTATACACAAAACTGATGGCCAATATGTTTTAATGGATGGATTAACTAGCTTCTTGCCTCAAAAATAAGCCATCTTTTGAAGCTAATTTTTGACCCGTTATGGTAGTCTAGGTCCTCGCTACACAAAGTGTGGTCTGCGGGCCAGTAGCATCACCTGGGGGGCTTACAGGATATGCAGAATCTCAGCCCCCTCCCTCCCCCACCTCCCAAGACTCACTGAATCAGCTTCTGCATTTTAACAAGATCCAGGCAATTTGTGTACATGTTGAAGTTTGCAAGTACCGGTATTCTAGACCTTCTAAAATAGAGGCACTCTTTCTTCAAACTCCCTATACCCTATCTCTTTACTTCTATATGTTTACGCCATTGGCCTTTTGGACTGTTTTGGTACAACTGGAAAGAATTCGTCCTCCTCTCCCCCTCCATAAAACTCTTTAAAATTACAAACTGAAAGAAGCATAAAGTTTTAGTCAAAGGGAAAAGAGCAACTATTTAAAAAGACAGCTGATGAAGACAGCTGAGGAATTTTCTCCAGTCCAGACTACCCAGATGACCCTCTTTAGTACCTGCTAGCTGGACAATTGGAGCCCTGGTGGTGCAGTGGTTCAGAGCTACAGCTGCTAATCAAAAGGTCAGCAGTTGAAATCCACCAGCCGCTCGTTGGAAACCCTATGGGGCAGTTCTGTTCTGTCCTGTAGGGATCCTATGAGTCAGAATTGACTCGACAGCAACAAGTTTGGTTTTGGTTTTAGTTGGACAGTTTGGGATCTCAAAAATAAAGCACAACTCCAATTATCAGGGATTTGATAGGCTCCTGGCAATGTCATAATGAAATGATAGGGTCTGGAAGTACATACCTGATTGTATTCTTGCTCTTCTCAATTTGACAATCATAAATACCTCTGAATTCATTGGGGTTACCCTCAGAACATGCAAGTTTCCCCGGAAAGTTCTAGTGATGCCACAGCTCCCTTTCCTCAGCACTCAAGCCAGAGAAGAGTCCATTCATGTGTGGCACACATCTAGGCAGGAAAATTTGCAGTTAGACTTTCCCTCTCTGGCATTCCACTTGGAACACGGCACAGGTGGTCCTTCAACCCCCTCTCACAAGATTCCAGGCAGCAGTGCTTTTCTGCCTTTCTTCTAATGTGCACCTCCAGCCTGCCTCCAAGCTTTCATGCTTCTCTTGCCAACTTCTTTTTGGAAACCAAATCCATCTCCTGCACCAGTCCTCTGCCCAGCGATCTACTAGTCTCTGAAATGGTAGATGCTCTTCCATGGTAGATGTTCTCAGATGTTCTTCCAACCTCAGCTTTTTCAGCCATGCCTGCTCCGTTCATCTCCTAGACTGAACCAAAACATCTGACTTTCTCTAGATAGCTTCACAGAGGGACAGAAGCCCAAAGACCTTCTGCAATGGAAGCTGTGACTTCCCCTACCCGCCTCCTTCCCCACTCAGTGGAACAAGGCAGCAATTTATCTTCCTGCAAACCGGTGCTAGTCCTACTGTACGGCTCTGTCACCTTTTCTGCTTTGAAATCCACACGGCCTCTTCCCACCCTCCAGAACACTTTCACCTCCCTGCAGGACCTCAGTGTCGGTGCCACATTTTCCCTCTGTACTTCTCCCACTGCTCTTGGAGAACTCAGCACTCATGAGAATGGCCTAGCATTCTGACCTCGTAAGTCTGAAGCCTCTCAACTCTTAAGGCTTTCCTCTCCACATTTCCAAAATCGTTCAGCAGCATGGAGATGAAATATACAATTTTTTTTTTTTTAAGTATGAACTTTAGAATCAGATCAGTGTTTGATAAAACCTGGTTTTGTCATTTACTAGCTGTTTGATTTGGGTCAAAATTTAATTTCTTTGTCTGAAAATGGGTTTGGTAATACTAACCTAATTGATTTGTTGATAATATTCAGGCAATAATGTGAGGAAAGAGTTTATGGTAAAGCTGAACGCACTGCTAGTGCTCAGACTAGAATTTACACTCCACAAGGAGCTATAGCCCCAGCACTAGAACAGTGGCTGGCATCTAGTAGGTGCTCAAAAAATGTTTGTCAAGGGAATACCAAGAAAACACACCCGTTGCCATCAAGTCGATTCCGACTCATAGAGACTGTCTTAGTCATCTAGTACTGCTCTAACAGAAATACCACAAGTGGATGGCTTTAACAAACAGAAATTTATTCTCTTACAGTCTAGTAGGCTACAAGTCCAAATTCAAGGCATCAGCTCCAGGGGAAGGCTTTCTCTCTCTGTCGGCTCTAGAGGAAGGTCCATGCGATGCATCGGTCTTCCCTTGGTCTGGGAGCATCTCAGCGCAAGAACCTCAGGTCCAAAGGATGTGCTCTGCTCCCGGCACTGCTTTCTTGGTGTTATGAAGTTCCCATGTGTCTCTGCTCACGTCTCTCTTTTATATCTCAAAAGAGACTGGCTTAAGACACTATCCAGTCTTGTATACCTCATCAGTATAACTGCTGCTAATCCATCTTATTAGATCATATTGACTGAATTTACAACACATAAGGAAATCACCTCAGATTACAAAATGGTACACAATTATACAATACTGGGAAGCATGACCCAGCCAACTTGACAGATATTTTTGGGGGACACAATTCAATCCATGACAGCGACCCTATAGGACAGAGAAGAACTGCCCCATAGAGTTTCCAAGGAGCACCTGGTAGATTCGAACTGCCGACCTTTTGGTTAGCAGCCGTAGCACCTAACCACTATGCCACCAAGGTTTCCTGTCAAAGGAATAGAATGAATAAATACATATATGGTAGTCATGATTTTTATGGCAACATTTTAGGTCTTGTCATCACCCTGAGCTCTTCCTTAACTCAGAGCTCAAGTTCAGATGTCTCACATTTCTCCCTTTGGGCTTTATTACATCTCTACCTAGTACAGCGAACTCCTCTCTGTTTGTCATACTATGGTGACTTGAGTGTTGCTGTGATGCTAGAAGCTTTGCCACAGGTATTTCAAATACCAATAGGGTCACCCATGGTGGACAGGTTTCAGCAGAGCTTCAAGACTAACACAGACTAGGAAGAAAGACCTGGTGATCTACTTTCAGAAATTAGTCAATGAAACTCTATGGATCACAACAGAATATTGTCCCATATAGTGCTAGAAGATGAGCTCCCTAGGTTGGAAGGCACTACATAGTAGCCGCAACAATATAGTCAAACACAGCAAGGATCATGAAGATGGCACAGGACCGAGCAACTTTTTGTTCTGTGATACATAAGGTTGCCATGAGTCAGAGCCAACTCAATGGCAACTAACAACAACAACCTAGTTGGGCACCCAGACTGTCACCTTCTGCCCTCACAACGACCTCTGAACCAGTCTTCAGTCCTTGAGTCCCCACCTCATTTAATGACTATGCTCCTACCTTTGATTGTCCCAGGTGGCCGTATGTTTCATTAAGAAAAATTACTGGTCTTGGGGGGCTTCTAGGTCAATGGGCATAACACAGTTCATAAAGAAAATGTTCTACATCCTACTTTGGTGAATACCGTCTGGGGTCTTAAAAGCTTGCAAGGGGCCATCTAAGATACATCCATTGGTCCCATTCTGTTCAGAGCAAAGAATGAAGAAAACCAAAGACACAAGGAAAATATTAGCTCAAAGGACTAAAGGACCACACGAACCACAGCCTCCACCAGCCTGAGCCCAGAAGTAGATGGTGCCTGGCTACCACCACCAACCGCTCTGGCAGGGATCACAATAGAGGGTTCCAGACAGAGCAGGAAAAAATGTAGAACAAAATTCAAATTCACAAAAAAAACAAAAACAGACTTAGTGGTCTGACAGAGTCTGGAGGAACCCCCGAGAATATGGCCTCCCACACCCTGCTAACTCAGAACTGAAGCCACTCCTGAAGTCCACCTTTCAGCCAAAGATTGGACAGGCTTACAAAACAACAATAACACACGTGAGGAACATACTTCTTAGTTCAATCAAATATACAAGGCCAAATGGGTAACATCTGCCCAAAAGCAAAGACAAGAAGACAGGAAGGGATAGGAAAACTGGACAAATGGACACGGGGAACCCGAGGTGGAAAGGGGGAGACTGCCGAAACATTGCAGGGATTGCAACCAATGTCACAAAACAGTTTGTGTATAAATTTTTGAATGAGAAACTAATTTGCACTGTAAACTTTCATCTAAAGCACAATAAAATTTTTTAAAAATCATAAATAAATCACAGAGTTTTTATGACTCATTCCAAGACAATTTAAAAACTAACACTTATTGAGTGCTTATTAATGTGCCAGACCCTCTTCCAAGTGCTTTACATCTATCACCTTATTTAATTGTTACCTCCTAAGAGACAGTAAGGAATGGATCTGGAATTCAAACTTGATTAGTCTGGCGTCAGGGAGCATGCCCTTAGAGCACCACTGTATACGGCCACTCTTCATGTTGGAGTCTCACTGGCACTCAGCAGAATTTCCATGCATCTCTTATTGACTCCCAGATACATTGGCCACAACAGCTGTTTTCCATCTTTGTCAAGTTCCTTTCCCACTCTGCCCTCACCCCCAAACGCTGCCCCCACCCGACATGAGCAGTGACCTCACTTCCCGAGTTGCCGCACTGATCAAGGCTATCTGATGTGACCCTTCATCTCTCCTTCTCACCCCTGCCAAGCAACTCCTTTGGGTAGCCTCCTCCGCATTCAAATGTCCTTGCCTTTCCACTCATCCTCTCCCACTCGTCTTCTATCTCAGAGAAAGAACTTCTCTGTTCTCTTTCCCAGGGCCCCCTTCATTAAGTCCCTTGTTCATTCTTGACGGAGCCCTTGGATGTTGCAAATGGTTACTGTGCTCAACTGCTAACTGAAAGACTGGAGGTTCAAGTCCACCCAGAGGCACCTCGGAAGAAAGGCCTGGAGATCTACTTCTGAAAAATCAGCCATTGAAAACCGTACAAGAGCAGAGTTCTCCTCTGACACACACAGGGTCGCCATGAGTTGGAATCGACTTCTTGGGTTTTTTTCGTCATTCTTGGGGACCATATTTCATTAATTACCAACTCTCTTTGCAATTTCAAAAACTCTTTTTGAGTACCCCTTCTGATATTTCACTAGACGCCCATAATTTCTTTAAAGAACAGCATATAAATGTATTTCTTACATCTTCAGGCTCTGTCTCTGCATGGTCACTTCGCCTCTTTGCAAACCTGCTCCTGTTTCCCCTCTCTTAGAAAAAGAATCCTCACTGTGTACTTGGGCTGCCATCTTACCTCTCTCCTCCTCTTAACGAAAAATTTTCAAAATTTTCAGAGACTGTAGTTGCCATCTCTATTGCTCATCACATACTCACATCTTAACTGCTTATAATATGGCCTCTTGATTGCAAGGCTGTTTTTTTGTTTAGTTTTTTTTCTATTTTTAGAGCATCTAATAATCTAATTTCTTGCGGGCAGTGGTTTGGGAACTGTACTCTTATACTTCTGTGCTCAAAGCACTTGTGTTTCATGAACCACACTTTGGGAGATCCTTTTTTTTTTTATGTTTAATCATTTTTATTTTAGTATTTACATTTTTTTCATTAGCACTTTATTTTCTTGCTGTTGAAAATATACACAGCAGAACATACACCAATACAACAATTTCTCCATGTACAATTCAGTGACAGTGATTACATTCAAGTTGTGCAACCTTTCTCACCCTCCTTCTCTGTATTGTTCCTTCCTCATTAACATAAACTCACTGCTCCTTAATCTTCCTAAGTTACTGTTGTCAGTTTGATCCCATATAGATAGCTCTTTAAAAGAGTACAATGCTCAAGGCAGATATTCTTTTTTTTTCTTACTGTAGTTTAAATGAAGGTTTACAGAACAAACTAGCTTCTTATTAAACAATTAGTACACATATTGTTCTGTGACATTGGTTACTAACCCCACCACATGTCAACACTCTCCCTTTCCTGACCTTGGGTTCCGTATTACCAGCTTTCCTGTCCCCTCCTGCCTTCTAGTCCTTGCCCCTGGGCTGGTGTGCCCCTTAGTCTTGTTTTGTTTTATGGGCCTGTCTAATCTTTGGCTGAAGGGTGAACCTCAGGAGTGACTTCATTACTGAGCTAAAAGAGTGTCCAGGGGCCATACTCACAGGGTTTCTTCAGTCTCTGTCAGGCCAGTAAGTCTGGTCTTTTTTTGTGACTTACAATTTTGCTCTACATTTTTCTCCAGCTCTGTCTGGGACCTTCTATTGTGATCCCAGTCAGAGCAGTCAGTGGTGGTACCATCTAGTTGTGCTGGACTCAATCCGGTGGAGGCTGTGGTAGTTCGGGTCCATTAGTCCTTTGGACTAATTTTTCCCTTGTGTCTTTGGTTTTCTTCATTCTCCCTTGCTCCAGACGGGGTGAGACCAGTGGAGTATCTCAGATGGCCGTTCACAAGCTTTTAAGACCCCAGACACTGCTCGCCAAAGTAGGATGTAGAATATTTTCTTTATTAACTATATTATGCCAATTGAGCTAGATGTTTCCCAAGACCGTGGTCCCCAGGGCCTTCAACCCAGTAATTTGGTCTCTCAGGGAGTCTGGACGTGTCTATGGAGCTTCCATGACCTTGCCTTGGACAAGTTGTGCTGGCTTCCCCAGTATTGTGTACTGTCTTACCTCAAGGCAAACACTCTTTACTAATTAAGCTAAAGTATTGTTTGGTTTGAAGAAGACTTCAGAGGATATCTTTGGTTTAAGTTTTAAAGATTATCTCAGGGCAAGAGTTTTGGGGCTTGATCCAGCTTCTATGGCTCCAAAAGTCTGGATTCCATGAGAAATCCTTTTTAAGGATTGTTGATAATGTAAGTGAAATTCCAAGCACACAGAAAACACTTGTAAGCAGCAGCACCACAATCACAGGGCATACCCATTGCTGCGTCTTGATTTCGCCACCTTGCCTGCCTGCCAGAACCACCTCTGCTTCATCCAGAGTCATCTTCTCTCTGTGCTGCAAAAACAGACTTCCTCCCGAGACTGCAGTTGGGTCCAATCCCTCAGCTTTTGCCCCACCCCAGCAGGCAGTTCAGACTGCGGTGTCAGCTTGTTCTTATCTATCCTGTTCTACCCACAAGTCACGAGGACACTCTCAGCCCAGCAGGTCCTGAGATGTGGCACTTAGTGTTAAGAAGGAACTTGGATCCCTGTGAAAAACCTAAGCCCTGAATATGTTAGCCAAAAGCTGCACCGAGGGTCCAGAGGTTTCAGGAATCAAAACTAGAGAGGAGTAAGAAGGTGTTTGTTTGTACTCTCAAGGGAATAGGGAATCTGAACCTTTGAATGAGCATTTTTCCTTGGAGGGGTTATTAGTATTTTAATTCACTCTCAAGAATTGCTGTGAAGCCAGTGTGGTTAGTTAGGCTAATCAGGTTTGATTGTGCCTGTTAATAAACTGTGCCAGGACTGAGAGATAACCTGCAAGTTACTTAAGGTCGATGAGCTTCTCTTTTCCCATCAACAAAAGTGAGGATATATTATCCACCTTGCAGGCTTATTGTGAGTATGAAGTAAAGTAATTGTGTATAAAGCACCTAGTACAGTGCTTGAATCAGAGTAGGAACTAACAAAGAGAACTGGCAGCTGGGAGTAACAGAATACTAGTATCGCCGGTGGTGGAAGAGCGTGACCACCAGGCTAAGGAGAACATTATTCATTCTCCATCTGGGAAGTCCCTAGCTTGTAGCCCTTTAGTAAAATGATAAAGTCACTGCTTTTAAGAAAATTGAGTTGAAAGAAAGGAAGAAAGAGAGTAAGAAGAAAACAAAAACCCACTGCCGTCAAGTGGATTCCGACTCATGGCAACCCTAAGAGAAGTGGGGAGGAAAACTGTGTTGCATTCCTGTAATGTTAAGGAAAGGTCCTGGAAGCTGAAATCCTCCATTAGACTCTAAGCAAGAGCAATGATGGCAGAGTTGGAACTCTAGAAATTGTTAGATAGCACATAGAATGCGGAAGATTAGAGGACATATGCCTACAGATTCACATATATTTAGTAACAAAACAACAATCAAATACCCTTACATACTAGTAACAGCATCCTCATCTCTATTATCAAATATTTATCAGTTGTTTATTGAATCTAGGACACTGTGCTAAGTAAGGCAGGGAATAAGAAGATGTCCAAGATAGTCTGCAGTGAAGTTCAGAAAAAGATAAGTAGTTAGCATATGTGGAATGGCAAATGAGCAGCATATGTGATAAGTGCTGCAGGACTGTAGAGAACAGAGATTATTGAAAGGATGCCTACATGGAATAGGGCAGGCCTTCTAATACTTTTTAAGAGTTTCACAGAGTAGGTGGAACTTGAATGAAATGTGATTCAGATAAATGAACACTAGGGAAGAAAGTTTTCCGGAGAAGGAGAACTGTCTTAAATGCCAACCTAAGGACTTCGAACTTAAAATAGAATTTGATGGAGAGAGAGTTTTTTCTAAAAAACTTTATTGTCTTTTTATTCACTTATAATTCAGTTAGTATATTAACCAACTAAACAAAAGAGAAGGCAGTGGTGGAAAACACATTTATGTACATGCATATTTATATTCATATCTGTGTTTTTCTTTACATGTCATTGTTGGATGCCGTCGAGTCGATTACCCACTCATAGCAACCCTATCAGGCAGAGTGGAACTGCCCCGTAGGGTTTCCAAGGCTGAAATCCTTATGGGAGCAGATTGCTAGATCTTTTCTCCTGCAGAGCTGCTGGTGGGTTCAAGATGCTGACCTTTCTGTTAGCAGCTGAGTGCTAAACCATTGTGCCACCATAGGAACATATCAATTTCAGCCAAGGTTCTAGAAAGGAAGACATGGTTTCTGAGCTATTAGAAAAGGAAGCAGTGGTTCCTGGGTACTGGTGTAGATTTTCCAAGACAAGTCCCATGAGATTAATTTTATTTCCTTTTGCATGACAGAGTTACTTCTCTAATGTATCAGTGAAATGTATTTGACAGGACATGTCTAAATTTCAACAAGACATTTGTAAAGGCCTCGCATGACCTTGTGATTAGAGACCTTGGAGATAATAAAAATTGGGTGGATGTATGCCTGGTTAGATGACCACACCTTAAAAAGTGAATACCGTATCAGTTATTATTCCTGAACGTACCATGTTTCTTACTCTATTCCTTTGCTCATCTCTATTGCTTGGATATGCCCCTATTTCTGAGACTTAGGGCCTGCCTTGTGCAGCAATTCTGACCCTATATCAGAAATATGCCTGGTACCACAGCCCCTCTAGGACAGGAACCTGCACAATTTTTGTTCTTTCTTGTTCCTGGAAGAGACCTCTGAGGCTGAGGTCCTTCCATCTTTTGCTTGACTATCCTAATGCCAATTTTTAAAATGGCATTCAATATATGAACAGTGACTGGTACATAATGAAATACAAATGATGACAGATAGATGGATGGGTGGGTAGATGGATGCATGGGATGGATGGATGGATAGATAGATGGATAATGTTAAGAGATTGTTGCAATCTGTCTCAGATTCTCTAGGAAGTAGATGCTGAGACAGAGTTCGGAGCACAAAAGGATTATTAGGGAGTGAGTAAGGCCTATGAAAGCAAAAGGAAAAGAAATTGGGTTGAGCACTGAGAGCCATCAGCCTGTGATGCAGACCTGACAACAGGAAGCTAACCAACAGCCAGCCAACAGGAAGCTCTGAAGCGAAGATTGCCAGATAGGGGAGACCTGTGTTGAGCAGAAATGGTCAGGCCCTAGTACCACTGCCTTGCTCAGTCATTGGCCAGGTTCTGTCCCAGATGTAAATTGATCTTGGTGCAAAAGCAGAGGCAGACCCTGTAGGGGCTAAAGGTTGAAGCGGATCAGCCAACCACTCTCCTCACAGCTGGGCAGCCAGTCCTTTCCTGAAGGGGGATCTGGGCAGTGAAGCTCCAAGTAGGTCACACAATCCAAACGCGGGGGCAGAGAATTCAATTAACAGCACTCACAAAGCCAGCTCTTTATTGATTAGTTGTTACCAGGGTAAAGGGATCAATAGCACATCTATACAAAATTGGTGATGAAAAGTTGATAGAGTTTACACTAGAAATTTCATACTGGTGAGAGTTGATGGCTAATGTGCTCATCTTAATTGGGAAAGTGATATTTCAACCCGGGGACATAAAGATATAATTGAAAATTTTTTAAAAGTACAATATAAAGAAAGACTTTTTGTTTTAAGTTTAGGAATGGGTTTTTTAATCATTTGGAGATATTCTGTGGGTTGTTGTTTA